CCTGCAGACTCAAGGGTCCCAGGTTCGATTCCGGTCAGGGGCATGTACCTTGGTTGCGGGCACATCCCCAGTAGGGAGAGTGCAGGAGGCAGCTGATCGATGTTTCTCTCTCATCGATGTTTCTAACTCTCTGTCCCTTTTTTAAATGGCCCAAATAGAAATTAGGTCACTTAGCCTTGAGATTTGTGCAGTGAAACATTAAGAAAATTTAGTCAAGGGGACCAAGACCAAACAATCAATTAGTAAATTAATTCAAAACATAGACATATCAAAAGATATATTGGAGGTGTCATAACTAAACATAAAAAAATTATTTGGATTACTAAAGCTACCAATCTAGTTTTGGGGGATTGTTTTTATTGTTGCTTTGGTTTGTGTATTCAGCTAGTATAATTGTTAATAAATCTTGTGGAAAATATATTCAGGTAGAACTATGGGGAAAAGTGGTGGTTGAATTGGGAATATGTAAAGTCATGAATTTTTTTCATGACTATTTTGGCAATTGTCTTTGTCTATGCCATATAATACCATAGACTAGGTGGCTTAAACATCAGAAATTTATTTTCTCATAGTTCTGTAAAGTGTGAAGTCCAAGATGAAGGTGCTGGCCTATTCTTGGTAAGAGCTCTTTTACTGGCTTCAGATGGCCACCTTCTCATGTGTCCTCATGTGGCAAGAAGGGAGGTTGGGAGGGAGGGAGGGAGTGAGTGAGAGCTCTTGTGTCTCTCTCTCTCTCTTTTTTTAAAAAAATATGTTTTTATTGATTTCAGAGAGAGGAAGGGAGAGATAGAAAGGGATAGAAACATCAATGAGAGAGAATCATTGATCAGCTGCCTCTTGCATGCCCCCTACTGGGGATCGAGTCTGCAACCCTGGCATGTGCCCTGACTGGGAATCAAACCATGACCTCCTGGTTCATAGGTTGATGCTCAACCACTGAACCACACCGACTGGGCACTGTGTCTCTTTTTATAAAGGCATTAATACCACCACGAGGGCCCATCTTCATGACCTCATCTAACTCTAGTTACCTCCGAGAGGCTTCATTTCCAAATACCATCATATTAGAAGATAGGGCTTCAACATATGAATTTTGTTCATAATAGCAATTAAGACATGACATATTATTCTAGTTCTAGGTAAGAGGATAAAAGCACACTCTACCCTGTCTTTCTCATTGAATGTAACTATAAAAGTTGAATGAAACACATGGAACAGCTGTATGAGGACTCTGGAAGGTTAATAGTAGCAGGTGGACTAGGGAAGACGAAGACCAAAACACCACTGAATCAGCAGCGAGTTTTTTTGTCTGTGTGTGTTTTTTCTCACCAGCAACCCCTGGTCTAAACCAATGGTCAGCAAACTGCGGCTCACGAGCCACATGCGGCTCTTTGGCCCCTTGACTGAAGGTACCCTGAAACTCAGAATGAACACAAGGGCACAGACAGAGAAAGCTCCAAGAGAAGCCTTCCAGTTCTGACAGGGAAAGCATCTCCTAATGCTCAGAGTATCATGGAAATCTGATAGTTTTTGTTCTTTTTAGGAGAAAAGATGCATGTGTCTCTCCTTACTCAATGTTGATTTGTTACTTCTCTGAGAGAGATTAGTTCCAAACTAACTAACTAGGATAGCAATAGACAATGAAATTAACAGTAAGTTGGACTATGCAGAATAGAAATGGAGTTTCTTACTCCTGAATTTACTTCCCAGAGAGTGACATATAAAAAACAAAAAAAGGAGGTAAAATGTTTTTCTCTCTCTTTTTTAAAAAAAATATATTTCTTTATTGATTTCAGAGAGGAAGGGAGAAGGAGAGAGAGAGAGAGAGAGAAACATCAATGATAAGAGAGAGTCATTGGTCAGCTGCCTCCTGCACACCCCCTACTGGGGATCGAGCCCGAAACCCAGGCATGTGCCCTTGGCCGGAATCAAACCTGGGATCCTTCAGTCCACAGGCTGACGCTCTATCCACTGAGCCAAGCCGGCTAGGGAAAAATGTTTTTTCTCTTAATAAAAATAGCAAATAATCACATTAGTACCTCCCCATTCTTCCTCTTTGGCTAACTCACAATTAAAAGATGATTCCTGAGAATCTATGTGAGTATTTTCAGAATTTGTTACAGTAATCTCTCACCAACTGGGAGTAGTGTCGGTTATATTCCTGAAAAGTGCTATGTTACATAAAATCTTCATTGGCAAGTTCAAGGTTTCACAGAAAATAGGGAATTTACAAGAAAATAAGACAATAAAATTGCCAATTAAGCAGAAAAGAATCATTTCCCTCAGTTGTTCATTAGCTCATGTTCTGAAAGCCATGGTCTGCTGTGGAAGATGGGGGCTTATCTTATATTAACCACACTTCTTTTTGTAAAGTTCTTGATGCAGCCTTTTCTGTATTGGTAAATAATGCTTTCTTGCATTTGCTTTCTCATTGGTATCATTTTTGCAAACCTTGATACATCCTTAGTAGCCATTTGGTCTTTCCAGAAGAGAAGGTCATGGTTTTTCTAGGCCTGATCTCTTACTGGTACTCTCTATTTAGAATAGCAGAATTCCTCTACCATCTGACCATAAGATTTGGGTGGGGGTGAAGATGAGGGTAGGGATAACTGTACTTAAGTTCTTTGAGATCACAAATTTTTAAATTTAGGCGTATGAATATGAAGCCATATTGTGACAAAACTACGATTGGCAAAATGATAGTTGACAAGGGATTATTACATATAAGTTCTTAGAAAGCTTTATACCTTTTTAATATTGTAACGTATACTCGGAAACCTAGAGTTCAAATTCAGCATTCATTTGTTGGATTCTAAAAGGAAGGGGAAAATCGAAAGTCCTCCCATGCTCAGGTCAGAAGGAACAAATCATAGAATCATGAAATTATGAAGGTGGTAGGACTATCCCAATCTCAGAGGAGGAAACCCCAAAAGGCTACCTAACATGTGACAGTCACAGAGCCAGCCTTCTCAGTTAGTACTATCTTAATTGAGAATTTCTCAAATACTGTCCTCAACTATTTTGACAGAGGCAGTTTGTTCGTCACCTACCTGGCACGCTATACTTGGCAACACTCTTCTGAGTTGGGTACAGAAACAGAATTTGGGGATGATCATTAAAATGGAGAGTCATGGACCCCACCTTCCTATGGAATGAGGAGGAAATGTTGTCCACCAGTAGAGACTTCTAGTTTTCGTCTGTTGTTGGCCTATGAGTGTGAGTTCATGTGCTGGAAATCCTTATGATTCACTCAACTGAAGAAATATGCTTATTCACTCTCTTCTCCCACTTCCCTCAAAACAACAACAACAACAACACAAAACAAAACAATTACTATCTTTCATGACTTTAGACACCATTCACTTAAACTATTCCCTTTTACTTCCAAAATTCCCAAGGAAAGGGTAGGAGAAGACTCTTTGAGTGCTAACGTGCGAGGATAACATGATAATAAAGTATAAAAAGCCAGTTTATAGCATAAGTAGGAATGAATGATAGATAGAGGTTCAAGAACATCTAGATAGAATTCTAATGCTGCTTTTATCTGGTTAAGAATCATTACATCTCCAGCTTTTTGCAAAACACCCTAGGGTCATGGTCGGCAAACTGTGGCTCACGGCTCTTTGGCCCCTTGAGTGTGGCTCTTCCTAAGCCTTAGGAGTACCCTAATTAAGTTAATAACAATATACCTACCTATATAGTTTAAGTTTAAAAAATTTGGCTCTCAAAAGAAATTTCAATCGTTGTACTATCGATATTTGGCTCTGTTGACTAATGAGTTTGCCAACCACTTCCTAGGGAATGAAAACACCTCAACCTTTTTGTCTCCTTTTCTTTACCATCCCCTTTTCTGAACCCTCTTTTACCTGAGAACTCAGAAGGCATAAAGAAATGGGTGTGGAGCATGCCTCTGGCACTGGGCCTTATGTGGCATTGAAAGCTCTCAGAATGGGTCTGCTATTTAAAGTTAATAAGCAGCAGACTAGAAAGTGGAAAGGTTTGTGAAACTCTATCACACATACTATTGTGAAGTTGAATGGAACTTTGGGCACTGCCAACTTAGTATATTTGATTTGTTTCCTGCACCTCTGTAACTCAAGTTACTAGCTTTTCTTTTTCTTTTCTTTCTTTCTTCCTTTTCTTTTTCTTTCTTTCTTTCTACTTCCCCCTCCCCCTTTGTTTTGCTTTTCTGTTTCCTAAAAGGTAGGGGGAGAGATTTTAATGTTAGCTTGCTAGTGCACTACTTCTGGGCCTCTCTCTAAGGTGAAAGAAGGAGGTCTAGTAGATATTTCATTCTTAAAGTTCTAAAAACAGCAAGTTTTGCTCTTGCCTTTGCCTTGGAAGCCTGTACTCAGTCTCTGAATAGGATATATCATTTCTTTTGCTCAGTAAAACTCCTTCAATGTTAGGAGCATTTCCATGAGTGGCACATAGTAAATATTTTTTAAAATGTGTTGTGCTCAAATGAATTAAATCTTATATGAGGAATTGCAGTTCTGATGTTATGATAGTCATGTGTTGCCCCCACCATCACATGGAATCTATAGGAATGGGTCCTGAAAGACCCTATTAGATATGTCAGATTGGGGGGCGTCAATTAATTAAAATATTTGTTAAGCCCCTCCTATGTCCTAGGCATCATCTTTTCTCAAGAAGTTCACATCTGATAGAAGAGTAGAGAAACTTAGACTCCAATTATAATTCTGTGAGATGAGTACTATGCCAATGCTAAGAAGAGTGAGTTATGGAAGCTAACAGAATGGACACAGATTTGAGTGTGCTTAGAAAATAAAAGATCTCTAATTTTTATTGTACATTTTAGTTTTACTTATGCTTCAAGGTTACAAGTTATTCTGGTTACTAGAGAAACGGGGAGGAAACAGGTTTTCTGCAATCTTAATTTTTAAAATGTTAAGCACCAGCACACATCATTTTCCAAATACTTTCAAGGGCATTTTTCTAGAATCAGGTAAATGAGAGCAAGCAAGTGACCTACTTACAGTAAAAAATGCTCCAGGTAATAAAGGATGGGAAGCCAAGTGCATCCTGGAAACCACAGCATCTGGTCTTGTTTTATGCTTCATCTATCAATCTGCTGTTACAAGAATTGAGAATTAATTTTTCAACTACAGTACTGTTTCTTCTATTTCAGCTGATGAATTTATATCATTGTTATTCTTACCCAATCCCTCCCATCCCATCTTCTCTCCCATTAAAAAAATAACAACAAAAACAAACCATTTGTGAAGGTCCCAAACAAATCCTAGGGAGGTTACTCTTTATCTACTCCTTAAAACTTTTGATGATAAGCTACACTATAGTAAGGTTAGCAATTCCGTTTTGATCCTGACTTTCCATAGATGTTATCATTTGAACAGTGTATTTTCAGAACTGTATTAAAGCTAAACAACAAAATGTTACAGATTTAAAATAAATATGTTCAAAAACTGTTTATTGCCCTCGCTGGCTTGGCTCAGTGGATAGAGCATCAGCTTGCGGACTGAAGGGTCCCAGGTTCAATTCCAGCCAAGGGCACATGCCTGGGTTGCGGGCTTAATCCCCAGTAGGGGGCATGCAGGAGGCAGCCAATTAATGACTCTCTCATCATTGATGTTTCTAGCTCTCTCTCCTTCTCCCTTCCTCTCTGAAATCAATAAAGAAATATATTTTTTAAAAATGTTTATTGGTAGCATTAACTGTAAAAGATATACAATTGGCAGCAGTGCCTGAGAAAAGAATTATGTAGCAATGTAAGAGTGTAAATTAGAGCTATCCAGATGACATGAGAAAATTACATACATGCTCATTTGTACATAAGCATTTTAAATTATATGTAAAGTTTAAAAACATAAAAGCATGAAAAGTAGATTTACAACAGTATGTTCTTTGAACTTTGCTGTTGCATCTCTTCGCTCTCTGTGCTTTTTATAGAATGGAGCTATAATTCATCTTTCACTACTTTCAATCTGTTGAAATTTTAATTTTCCATTATTTTTGCCTTATTTCATCTTATTTCAATGGAAGCTTCAAGCATTTAATCTTGGTCTTTCTTAATGCTTTCATGGCTTCAGGTACAGCTTCATATTCTTGCTTTACTTTCTTTCTCCTCCCATTCTATTCAATAACTTGTCAAAATACTAATTAAGGTTATTCTTTTCTGATGAAATATTTTAAAAAGAACCAAGGTTACCAAGTGACTATTATACTGGCATAATTACTGCTATATAATTTTACCTATTTGTTGCAGTTCTACTCTTTCTAAATCACTGACAAGCGAATCAGTTCTAATGAGTAATGAATAGGGTCCAAAAATTTCAGATTTGTTTTTCCTTCCAGAGATTTTATTCCCATCATGAGTCTTCCATGCTTTGATTTCTAGATGTATCCCAGCTGGCTTGATGGTTTAGCTGACCACATAGGCTTTGGAGCCTGGGGCAATAGAGATTTTTGTAAAAATACATCTGAAATCACTGACTAGGGGAGGATTATCCAAAGTGTAGTCCAAAACTATCTTTATCCAAATCATCTCAGGGGCTTATTCAAAATGTAAATCCCTAGGCCAGTGATGGCGAACCTTTTGAGCTCGGCGTGTCAGCATTTTGAAAAACCCTAACTTAACTATGGTGCCGTGTCACATATAGAAATTTTTTGATATTTGCAACCATAGTAAAACAAAGATTTATATTTTTGATATTTATTTTATATATTTAAATGCCATTTAACAAGGAAAAATCAATCAAAAAAATGAGTTCGCGTGTCACCTCTGACACGCGTGTCATAGGCTCACCATCACTGCCCTAGGCCCAAACCTAGAGTAGTTAAATGGGAACCTCTAAGGCACGGACCTGGAGATCTGCCTTTTTCCAAGTTGTCCAAGTCTGTATAGATCCATGGTGAAATATGAGAACCCCTAAATCTAAGGAATCCTTTCCCATTCGGGGTCCAGTGCATTGAATGACCTTGGCTACAGAGCAAATTAACCACACTCTCACCCAACTAACAAAAGCAAAGAAGAATTTAGTTCTGTGGGGAAATGGGGGGGGGGGTGAGGTGGGGGGAGAGAATCTTCCATAAACTGTTTTAAGAGGCATTAGTTTTTTAAAAAAACTTTCTACAATAAATATAATAATTATTTCTAATATCTTGATTCTAACAATCACAGAGGGAAGGCTCAGAAAGTCTACAAAAAAATCTGTTGTTATAATTTCCTGATTAATATTACACCTAATGAATTATTTATTGAGCCCCTACTGTGGGCCAAATATGGTGTTTTGTGCTGCCAGTGATTATATAAAGCTATCCTGGGATGAAAAGCATATGCTCACTCTGTTCTATTCTAAAAGAACCTACTTGATTTAGTGATTGCTGAAAATGAACATGTACGGTATGCGGAAAGGCAGTAATTTGATATCTTTGGGCCTAGGCATAGGAGGCTTCCTAAGGATTTGCTAAATGAAATTTAGGTCCAAAAGGTATAGCTCTAGGCCCTTGGTTTATAACCAAGCCACTGCGAAAGGAATGAGAAGCAGCATTTATTTGGGGACAGGTAGACTATTTAGGGTCAGTTGTGATTACTTAATCCAACAATTTCCTTTCCTATGTAATCATACCCCGGTATTAGGCAGATGCAATCATATTGGAAGTTCCAACTCATTCTAGAACTCATTTAGCATGTCCCTAGTAGGGCAACCTACCCCTCATGGTTTGCCTGAAACTTTTTCTGTTTTAGCATTGAAGGTCCAATGTCTCAGAAACCCCCTTAATGTCAAACAAACTGGGTAGGTTGGTCATGTGGTCCTTAGAGCAAGACAGGTTAAGGTTCTTATTTGACCTAGTTTCACTCAGGGTATGATTACCTTAGTGGGCCACAAAACATAATGTTCTTTCCTTCAGTAACTTCTACCTTTTAGCTCTGTCCAGGCATGTTCCCATGAGCATCCCAAGCAATGATTCAGATTGAGGATAATTTCAGGGGCCCAGATGAGAGTATCTTCTAAGACTGACTGACAAACTGGCTTATATTTTTTTGTAAACATTGTTCAGATCTCCTAATCATTCTGTTTTCCTCAAAGTTCTATCTTCCTCTGTAAGTAATCAGTCTAGTAGTACTCCAAACATAGTTTCATATCATTATAAAAATTTACATTATGATTGTAGACACCCATATAGACAAGAAGCCTGGATATAAAACATGAACCACTTACAATAAATTCCATTCTGATGGTCAGTGACGCCAATCAGTTTTTAAACTTTCACTCACCCACATGGCCGGCCAGTGTGCCTCTGTGGTTGAGCGTAGACCTATGGACCAGGAGGTCATTCTTCAATTTCCAGGTCAGAGCACATGGCTGAGTTGGAGGCCCTTCTCCAGTAGAGGATGTGCAGGGGGCAGCCTATCAATGATTCTCATCATTGATGTTTCTCTCTCTCTCTCCCTCTCCCTTCCTATCTGAAATCAATAAAAATATACTTAAGAAAAATAAACATCCACACATCCCTATCATTCCATCCTCTCCCTTTACAGCCTCACGATTTTGTCATTTCATGTTAACTCTTTCATCTAGATTTTAAAATTTAACTGGTATTACATTACTATCTCTAAGGCAATATATAAGTGTAGGGTTTGAATTACACAGATCTAAGTTCCAATGAAATTTTGCCCCTTTTTAGATACACAAACTTAGGAAAGTTTAAGTTTTAAAATTTGCTCATCTATGAAAAAAGAAGAAACTGATGGCTATTTTAGAGGATTGGTTTTTGTTGTTGTTTTGTTTTTTGGGGAGTTTAGATTCGGGATGTGAATACTGCCTGACACCTAGGGCTGTCATTCAAGAAACTGTAGCTATTATCCTCACTACAGTATCACAAGCGTGTAACAATGGCAGCATTCACTAACTTCAACAATCAGGCTGCAGAATTTTAGCCATCCGAGCCGACACCTAAAACAGAGGGGCACAAGCGGCCTTCCCTAGGAGGGTAGGGAGAGGAGCGGTCTCATGGCCTCTATCTGAACAAGTGATGCTTCTCATACCGGAGGACAGTGTCTCATGTCGTCTCGCCCCCTGGCAGTCTGTTGAGGAGGCTCTGGCTTTCAGGTCTGCTCCCTTGGGACCTCTGGGGTCACGCCTCTCATTCTGGAAAGGGGAAGGGGGAAAGAAAAAGGGAAGTCACCCAAATGCAAAACCTGTCACCAGATGCCCCATTCCGTCCTGACTACCGGGCCCGCCTGGGTGGGCTGCACAGTCGTTCCGCTGTCAGGTTTGCAGGCGCCACCCGCAGGTGGCAGGAGGGTGAGCTCACCCTGGAAACCGAAAGGCAGATGGCGAGGGTTGGCCGTGCGCGTCAGCGCAGGCACCGAGCAGTGGCGAGCGGGCTTGCGCGGGGGTGAGGGGAGAGAAGGGCGGGAGTTGGCGTTCAGCAGGACTCAGGGAAGAACTTCTTAGTTCATTGGACCTTGATGTCAAGCATTTCTTTGCCCGCCCATGAAGGCGCCCCTATTTCTCTGTGCTGCGCCCAGAGCCCGCGAGCAGGGGAAGGTCTTTATGGGACCAGCACCTTCCCCAGTTCCACATCCGAGACTCATTGGATAAACGCAGCGCCTTGGCAGACACACCGGCTTCGCGGAAAGCCTCTGGCCGGCAGTTAGCAGGTTAAGCAGCGTCGGCGCGACCTCGCTGCGGTCCGAGCCGCGTACCCTGCCTAAAACCCGGAAGCGCGTCCCTCCCGGCTGACAGCCCGGACTGCGCATGCTCGGCGCGAGGGGGCGGGCCGCGTCCTGCCGGAAGTGTTCTCTGCCAGGCGGCGTTTCCTTCCCGGGTGACACGAGCTGAGGACTCCTGCTGCCGGTGTTTTTGCACGGGAGGGAGTAGCGGGTTCCGGCGGGGCCTCGTGGTGCGGGCGCGGGATCCCAGTGAGCTCCTTCAAGGACCGGCTCGGAGCTGGGAAGCCCAGCGAGAAAGGTCAGCTCTCCTTCCTCCATGTCCCACCTCCATGTCGCCCCCTAGCCTCCCCCAACCCTGGGTCTCCAGCGGATTCACCTCCAAGGGCGTCCCCGGCCTCGCCTTGGCTTCCCGCCCGGCCTAGGCCCTCGGGTCTCGGCGAGAACTGTTCCCGAGAGTTATGCCGTTTCCTGCAGGGAATGTGTAAGGCATCGGGGTCGCTGCTTGGGCTTGGGGTCGTCCCGGGCGACCTGAGAACCGGGGTCTTCGCCAAGGCGGCCCGAGAGAACGGGGTGTGATTGTTGCAGTGGCACGGATCCCACCTAGTGCAGAAGCGGAGGTGATTCTTACGGCCCGGGCACACTTTCGCGGAGGATGATGTTAATTATAACCTGTCCTTTATGTGAAGGTTGGCAGTCTTTCATTGACAGACATAGCCTCGTGTTCATTGGACCTTGATGTCTGCGAAACCGGGACTTTGGGGTTGAGAAAAACTTTGTAAAAACACTGCCCTGAATCAGGAGAGAAATACTACAGGGTGAACACTAGACTCAGTCCTTAACCTGTCGGTACACTGGTCATTGACAAGGTAGTGCGATTTCAGAGTTTTCTGCCCTGAAATGGAGAAGAACTCTTTGAAATGAACAACTATCTGGTGTCATGTTTCTCTAGCAAATAACAGCGTGACAGTGTTTTGCGGTATTTCTTAGTTGTACACAGCACCATCTATATTGTACATAAATGTGTGTCATGTCGTTGATCCTCATGTTTTATAAAAGGTTGAAATACATTCCCTACTGCCGTATGCATATGCAGCTTTCATTGCAAATTGTGCTGTAATGGTGGTGTTACTGTAACGACCTTACATTGCAGGCATATCAATGTCATATGAATGATAGATAAGTGTGCAATAAAGTATATACAGTTACAACCTACAAGTAGAAGTTTCAGTTTCATTTCAGGATTTTGAGGTCATTTTAAAAGATGGAGTTACTATTTTAGAAATGACCGTAGGTCTGGACTACTGTATTACAGCTAATGATTTAATTATAGGAAATAATGTAGTTAACAGAGGTCTTGCATCTTAATTTTTTTATAGGATTAAAATTGTTATTATCTTGACTGGGATGTGCTGGTAACAACTGTAGTTATTCATGTAGTTCAGTGAACATCCAGTAGATGGCAGTTTTTTCACTACCAAATCAAACTTTAAATAAATGAAAACCTTTTATTCAAACATCTCTAGTTTTCAAAGATTGTTAAGTTAAAACCCTTATTTTGCCTACCGGTTTATTTTCGTCAATGAATAGTGTCCCTCATAATGATACTACATATCCTATCCAACTGCATTTTCAAATTTACTCTGTTGGAATAAAGGCTAAAGAAGTCAAATTTTCACATCCTATGAGAAGTGGAATATTCTTAACCTATTTATAGTAATTTATGCTGATGGAAGAAAGTACACTGATTTATTATAAGAGGAGACATTTTAATTAGATGGCTTCTCCCTAGCTCCATTAAAAAAACAATTAATGTAATAAGACTGCGCGTTCCTTGTGCAAAGTAATTGTATCTTAGCCATTATTGTATGTCCAGTATATAGTAGGCATTATATACATTTAATAAGTGCTTTATGGTATGAATTAAATAAATCATTTAGCATTTCTAGGCCCCAGTTTCTTCCCTCACAATGAAGGCTTTCAATTTTTTAGTTAAGTTTAAATGAAATAATGTCATATTGAAAAGTGAATGGCTTCTAGTAATGGAGAAGTAAAGTCAATGGAACCTTTGACTTTTCTTTGAGCCATTAAGAAATTGGGCAGCAATTGTGTTGGAATGATTGAATGGGAGGTTTTCTGCAGTTCCAATTTATTTGTTAAAGAATTATTGAATAGCCTCTTTTTTTGTATGTGACAGTTATAAAAATGGGTAAAATATAAATCTTGTTTATAAGGATTTCAACTCTAGTTGAGCAGACTCAATATCACATAAGTTAAATAATACAACCAAATGAATAATATAGAGGATTAATGTGATCTGAAAGCCTTTATGGAGCATGTGAAGCTTTTAAAATTTGGATAGAATTTGACTAATCCTAGATGAATGGGGAGAAATGGCCCATCCAGGGCAGATAGGCTAGAGCAGTGGTCGGCAAACTGCGGCTCGCGAGCCACATGCGGCTCTTTGGCCCCTTGAGTGTGGCTCTTCCTAAGCCTTAGGAGTATCCTAATTAAGTTAATAACAATGTACCTACCTATATAGTTTAAGTTTAAAAATTTTGGCTCTCAAAAGAAGCTTCAATCGTTGTACTGTTGATATTTGGCTCTGTTGACTAATGAGTTTGCCGACCACTGGGCTAGAGGGATAATACTTAAGGCATTTTCCGATCCTAGTGACACCAATTATTGAGAATTCCTACTAAGCAGTGGTGAGAAGTAAAATGCTTAAGTTACTTTTGGGGCTAGGTTAGAATAGTCTTTAATAGTTGGGATTCCTGTAAATAAAGGGAAAGATTTGAGGTCTTTTTATTAGGGAGGGGCATATATACTCTTGAATGGAGGGGAGGTATCTAAAAGGAATTTCAAAATTGTGGGCACTATTTTAGAGGGAGGGACATGAAGAGGATCTTTAATTGAGTAGTAATAGTGAAAAGAGAAATAATTTTTAGAGCTGGAATGACCTGCAGTACCTAATTTTTACCTGTTGCTGAGCCATTTGTACAAATCCTGATTTGTTCCCTTTCACATGAGTTCAAAATATATATTCTCTTTGTTTTTTTCCCCCTGGTCATATTGCACTCAACACATTTGTGTGCTATCTATACTAATAAAAGCATAATATTGCTAATTAGACTGGGCAGCCAAATGACCTTCCGGACGTCCTTTCGGACAAAGCCACAGTGGCGGGGGCTGAGGCAGACGCATTTAGGGGCGATCAGGCAGGTAGGCAGAGCGGTTAGGGGCGATCAGGCTGACAGGGGAGAGCGATTAGGGGCAATCAGGCCTGCAGGCAGAGGTGGTTAGGGATGATCAGGCAGGCAGACAGGTGAGCAGTTAGGAGCCAGCGGTCCCGGATTGCAAGAGGGATGTCTGACTGCCGGTTTAGGCCCCATCCCTGTGGGGTCCCGGATTGGAGAGGGTGCAGGCTGGGCTGAGGGGACCCCCCATCCCGTGCACAAATTTTGTGCACCGGGGCCTCTAGTGAGAGTATTAAGCGTTATTTGAAGCTGAGATTCCATCTCCCAAAATGTGATAGTCACATTGTCCCTAATAAGGTTGTTATTCTGGGTAGGCATTGCCTTGGACAGGGGTGTGCATGCCTTCTGTAAGCCTAGCTATGACTGATGTAGCTGTTCAGAGATATATGTAAAAATAGGCTCATTGCCTTTTTTTAGCCCTCTCTCTCTTGGGTGTGGGCTGTATTTTTGTGGTTCAAAAATATTTGAAGATTCTGTTGCTTCAGATTTAGCTGGGTTGTAGGAAACAATAGTATATATAGCTCAAAAAATGACACTTATTAAGGAAACGGCAAATTTAAGCAGGACTTGAGGACCTTTAAAAGTAAATATTAGGAAGTAGTGAGCTCACAATTTGAATTTTACTCAAAAATTACCTGGTTTACTTTACACTTAATAGAAGAAATTCTTACCATCACATTAGTAAAGTATCTCATTGTTTGGCTGCCTTTCTTTGGTTAGATTAGTGTTAGAGTCATTATTTTTCTAGAATCTGAAATTGTAGTTATTTTAAAGCTGTTTGAAGAGTAAATAAATACCTTAAAATGTTTTGTATTTTTCAAATAGAATTATTCTCTACTTAAATTATATGAGCTTTTAGGGAAGTTCATTAAAAATTCTAGTAAATTAACCTCAGTTTCTAATTTGTCCCTTCAGTTACCAAGGGGAACTTAAAATGTGTTTGTTTACCTAACACTTAAAAATCCATTTCTCCTCAAAATAAAACACTTTTTAAAGGTAGGTAATGTTGAATTTGACTAGCAGTTCTTGTTGCTTAATATAAGGTTCTTACCAGCCTCCTAGTTTTTATGACTAGTTATTACTTAGTGACATTTCTGTTTGTTTTTTAAGGGTTAACTGTCAAGATGGTACATGCTGAAGCCTTTTCTCGTCCCTTGAGTCGGAATGAAGTTGTTGGGTTAATTTTCCGTTTGACAATATTTGGTGCAGTAACATACTTTACAATCAAATGGATGGTAGATGCAATTGATCCAACCAGAAAGCAAAAAGTAGAAGCTCAGAAACAGGTATGAATAAAATATTTGAGGATCATTTTTCTTGTAGTTAGCAAATATTTTTCCATAAAACTAAGGATGTAGTAGAATTATAAGTTAATGAGAAATTCTGTAAGATTTACATTAAAATGTTTTTGTCATATTTCATTATTCCTAAAAATAATTGTTTCTCAAATACTTTTTGATATATAAGCAACTTTAGAATAGAAAATGATGAATAAAAATATTATAGCATTTGGTTCTGAACATTCTCATTAGATTATTTTTTGTCAGCTATTTGTTTCTGAAGGAATCTAGGTAAAATTTTTTAACAGATTAAACAAAATTTATCTTTAATAAGGTGTACATTTTGCTTTGTTTGACATTTGAAATGTGGAAAATACTGACAAGTATTCAGTCATAAATTTACAAACTACACTAATTTCTAATTAAGGAATCGCTTTAAAAATGTTAATATAAGTTGTAATTTTATTTTTCACCTATTGCCTCTTGTGGTCCTTTTCTCATTAAGATGATATATTTGTTTTGGTT